TCTTTAAGGGCATTAGCAACTAAGCTACAGGGTAAAGGGCAGATGGCACAGTAGCGTAACTGGGGCAGTAGTTACAGTGCAAGCTAATGGACCCTAGCTAATAGAATCTGGACGCAGCACTGATTCACAGGGGGCCCAGTGTTACAGGAGCTCGTACTAAGGCAGCAGCAGCCCAGGCAGAAGGAGGTAAGCATTCACTCTCCCATGCCACCCAGGGTGCCAAAATTTAAATTTATACCTCTGGGATTGCACCAATATTACCCTCTTTCTTTACTTTATAGTGAAACCAACCCTGCTTTCTTTTCATTAGATGCACTAATGCAGATTTTCCCAAAAGAACTGAATGTCATCAGCTGGTTTTCCTTCTTAGCAAGTCAGACCAAGTTTGATTCCAGAGTTATAGAAGTGCATAAGGCTACCCACTGCCTGAATGGCAGTTATGTGCATCTTCCTACATGGAAGTATGCCTCTGGGTGCAGACTAGACTGAGCAGAGAGAGAAGGGAAGACCTAGGTGCCTAAGAGGTGGAATAAACACAACATGCTTGAACTTTGATATATAAGTTTGAAGTGAGAAGAAGCCAAGTCACAGTTACTTTAAACATAGACTGTCTCACTCCACCTGACTAGAAAACCACATCCAGAGGGAACACTCTATCTGTGATCCAAATCAATAAATAGAAGGAGTATACTCCAAGGAGGAGTATACCTACTTGGCTCACGCTTGCAGAGAAGCAAGAAGAAAGGCCAAAGCAGATACAGAACTTAAGTTGGCAACAAAAAATAAGGATAACAAGAAGTCCTTCTTTAAGTACATAGGGAGCAGGAAGAAGGCACAGGGTAACACAGGATTGCTACAGAATGGATTAGGGCAACTCGTAACTGATAGGATGGAAAAAGCGGAGCTCTTAAATAATTTCTTTGCTTCTGTTTCCCTGGGCACAGATACAAATGCACCTCCCAATTAGTCTGGAGTGAGAGTAGTACCAATCCACCAATGATTAGCACTAACCTAGTGAAGGGGCACTTGGAAGGGTTGGACGTATTTAAGTCGGCAGGCCACAACGATCTTCACCCAAGGATACTAAAGGAATTGGCCAATGACATAGCAGAACCACTGGTGCAGCTGTTTGAGCGCTCATGGCACTTCGGACAGGTCCCAGAGGACTGGAAAAGGGCCATCTTCAAGAAGGGGAGGAAGGAGGACCCAGGTAATTATAGGCCAGTTAGCCTCACCTCTATTCTCAGCAAGACCTTAGAAAAAATTATAAAGGATCACATTTGCAGGGGGCCAGTGGATAACAATGGTGAGGGGCAACCAGCATGGGTTTATAGCAGGCAGATCCTGCCTGACTAACCTGGTCTCTTTTTATGACCAGGTCACAAAGTGCTTAGATACAAGGGAGGAAGTAGATATTATTTACCTGGATTTTAAAAACGCTCTTGACACAGTGTCACACCCAATTCTTACAAGTAAACAGAGTAGCTGTGATGTGGATTTTTTCACAGTAAGGTGGGTGAAAAACTGGCTTATGGGACGCACCCAGAGAGTGGTGGTGGATGGGGCGGTTTTTCCCTGGAGGGATGTGGGCAGTGGTGATCCCCCAAGGCTCTGTCCTTGGACCAGTACTGTTTAATATCTTCATCAGCGACTTGGATGAAGGTGTTGAAAGTACCTTGTCCAAATTCACAGATGACACTAAACTATGGGGCACAGTAAACACACTGGAGGGCAAGGAGCAAATTCAGGCAAATTTGGACAGACTGGGGAACTGGGCAGATCAGAAAGGGATGCAATTCAACAAGAATTAATGCAAGGTGTTTACACTGGGGAGAAAAAATCTCCAACACACCTATAGATTGGGGGGTTACCATTCTGAGTAACACAACAGTGGAAAGAGATCTCTGAGTCCTGGCTGATGCAAAAATGAACATGAGTCACCAGTGTGACGAGGTAGTAAACAAGTCTAACCACACTCTTTCTTGCGCCAGCAGGAGCATCACAAGCAGGTCTAGGGAAGTGATAATTTCCCTTTATGTGGCACTGGTGAGGCTGCAGATGGAATACTGTATCCAGTTTTGGGCACCGCACTTTAAGGGGGATGTGGATAACCTTGAGAGGGTTCAGAGGGGGGCTACTTGTATGGTTGAGGGCCTGCAGGTAAGACCCTATGAAGACAGACTGAAGGATCTGAATCTCTTCAGCCTCCGCAAGAGAAGGCTGAGAGGCCTTCTTGTGGCTGCCTACAAACTCACCAGGGGGGCCAGCAGGGAATAGGGGACACTGTTTGCCAGGACGCCCCTCGCAGTTACCAGAAATAAAGGCCACAACTGAAGGAGAACAGATTTAGATTGGACATGAAGAAGAAAATCTTTACAGTGAGGGTCACCAAAATATGGGATAGGCTTCTAAGGGAGGTGATGCTTTCCCCTACCCTGAAGATGTTCAAGAGGAGATTAGACAGGCATCTGGCTGGGGTTACCTAACCCCAGCGCTCTTTCCTGCCTGGAGCAGGAGGTCAGATCCGATGATCTACCAGGTCCCTTCTGATTCTATAAATCTATGAAATCTATGAAATAAAGTTTGCAACCAGAACATCTGCACCCTGATGGACAACCCTAGTGAATGACTGAGGTGAAGGACAGCACTAGAGGCCAGAGAATTTGCACAATTTCATATTGCTATTGCTGTACTTCATGAGACTAGACATACTGGGCATGGTGGTGGGTACCCTTTCTTTTGGAAAGGAAAATCTAAAAAAGATAGACATATCTATTATCCACAGTACTGGTTTTGCTATTGAGACCAAGATTCTTACTTAAATGCTGAAATATCTGGTTGGCATCAACGAGCATCTTATGACCCATTATCTTCCACTAACCAGTAGAAACATGCAAAAGTTGTCAATGCATGCACCACAACCATTGATAGAGATGACTAAATGAAGAAAAAATGCAGTTCTAAACTCAACCAAGTCCTGTGATCTGTCCCCAAAGAAGATAACAACATTCTTCTTGGTGATTTCAATGCTAGAGTGAGCAGGGACTGTGAGCTATGGAAACACAGCTGGGAATAGAAGAGCTGGGAAAGTCAGTTCAAGTGGAATTCTCCTCTCGAGCAGGTGTTCAGAACATGATCTCAAAATCACAAACTCCTTATTCCATCAAATCAGCAAATGGAAGACATCATGGATGCCTGCCTGCTCAAAACACTGGCAACTGACTGCCTACATCATAGTGTGTGCCCAGGACCATCGTGATGTCCATATCACTAGAGCTATGACTAGCACAGATGACTGCTGGACTGAACATTGTTTGATATATTCTATTATGTCTATTCATAGTACCCCAAAACACAATAAGCAAAAGAAGCAACCAAGGAAGACATTTAATATTGAGTGCCTGAAAGGCCCTGCTAAAAACAATCCTTCCCAGCAGTGCCTTTGTGACACCATTGATCACTGGAACAGCCTCAAGAAAGGCATCCATGAAGCATGTGAAGAATCTTGACAAAGAAACATCAGGACTGGTTTGATGAGAGTGACCAGGAAATTCAAGCTCTCATTGACAGAAAAAGGAGAGCTTCAAAGCTTGGCAAAATAACATCAACTCCAAACAGAAACAAGACACTTATCACCCCATTAAAGAGGAGACCCAGACGAAAACTTGAGCACAAAAAAACAAGCAGTGGGAGAACAAAGCAAGAGATCCTAAAGTTTGCTGAGTTACAGTATGCATAGTTTCTTCAGCTTGACCAAAGCTACCTATGGGCCAAGCACACAATCCCTCTGAGGTCTAAGGATAGAACAACACTCTTTAAAGAGAACTCTGCCATCAGTCCAGTGGAAGAAACACTTTCAAGAGCTTCTGAACCAAGATTTGTAATGTTGGTGAGAATACCATCAATGCTATTTCATAATATCCCATTAAGGACTACCTTGCAGACCTACCAACCTATCAAGTGGCCTTGAAAGACACTGAGCAAAATGAAGAACAAAGCATGTGGTCCTGATGGAATACCAGCTGAACTTATAAGCATGGTGTGAAAAAGTTCACCAGCTAGATACCTTATTCTGAAAATCTGGAAACATGAACAGATTCCTAGTGACCCGAGAGATGCCAGAATCATAACCATAGTCAAGAAAGGAGGTAGATCAGATTGTTGCAATTACCATGGCATTGCACTCCTGTCTATAGCTGGGAAGATCCTTGCTGAATTCTCAATAGACTCACTCCCCTCACTGAGAAGATTCTACCTGAGTCCCAGTGCAGTTTCAGACCATTCACAGGTACAACAGACACGTTGTCTTGCTAGGCAAATATGGGAGAAGTGCCATAAGCAACACAGAGATCTTTACATGGCCTTCATTGACCTAAGGCCTTTGATTCAATCAACAGTTAAGAGATCCTGAGGAGATTTGGATGTCCAACAAAATGTGTTACCACCGTCAGACTTCTTCATGATGGCAGGGCAGCAACCATTCTAAGAAATAGCTCAGACATGGGCCCCTTCATGATTAGAAACAGAGTCAAGAAAGGATGCATGATTGCACAAATACTTTTTTCCATCTATAGTGCAGCTATTCCTCAGCTGTTCCATATCTGCACTTGAACATGCATGCAGAACTCAGATTGGTCTCATCAGTCATCTCTGGACTCACCAGTGACTTCCCTATCATCTGGAAGACTGTCATCCTCATATCAAAGGACTGCTGATGGTGATGAGACACAAAATGGAACCAGAACCCTAGCCTATAAAATAAAAGCTCATTCAGAAGCTATGCAGACTTGGATGTATAAAAGAGGTAATATCCAACTGCCCCAAATAAAGCTAGTTCCACAGAAAATTCTTCTGGACTTGGTGGCGACTAGCCGCTGTCCAATTTACAGGACATTTAAGAGAATTTAACAGTGAAAATTAATTAGTTTAAATACGAATTGTGACCAAAATATTACTCTAACCATACATAAAAATAAAATTCAAAAACTGCATTAATTTACATTTTTTTCAGCCATTCAATTTTTTTCCTTTTTCTTCTCACTTCAACATCTTGTTTCCTCTTCAGCTTAGAGAAATGAAATTGTATTTCCTTTTTGTTGTCCTCAGTTGTGAAAGGATCCATGCTTTTCCAAGCCTACTGGAAAAAATAAGGTATTGTTGGTATAGTTTCAAAAAACACCACTATTTTTATATCCTTAGCTACACCTGCTTGTTTACAGGTCACATGATTTATACTTTTACACTGAGAATATTCACACAATTACTACTTGTCTATTTTACTTAAATGTGGAGTATAAGATCCCACATCAAGATTAGCCTTATGTCTTTCACAGTAACATGTAAGATATCTGTTTTCTCTTGCAAAAACTGATTCAGGGGTAATTGATTCTTTAATATACCTATTTAGTATGATGAAGAGAAAAGTTTGGATAAGATACAGAAAAGCAATGCAGTAATCACTGAAATAAAGGCCAAACATAGATTAGACTTCTCCACCAAGCATCAGTACAGTTACTCAGAGGTTGTCACTAAAGAAGAATGCCATTTGTTAATGAAAAACTACAGTTGCTCTCTCTTGCCTAGACCAGTTCAGTCTCCAGACAAGGGAGGCAAGAAGATGGTTTAGATGCGCTTTTGCCTCCTTGCAAGTTCATAGGCCGAGTAATCCAGCCATACAATTTGTGGTGACTAATACCTGAAATGAGATTATGCTTCTTGCAGTCTTTTGTGGGATTCAAATAATTCCCTGAATACTGTGATTACTCTGGGGGCCCCTCTATATGCACTGGTAAAGGTGAGACAGGATCTAATGCATGATCCACACAGTCACACCTCCTCCATGACACACATGCATGGCACCAGGCATGATTGTGGGATCGCAAATTAGATCCCATCACACCTTAGCACAGGTGCAGGGGGAGCCTGATCCCAGGAAGAAGCAAGTTCCTGTGCTGGGAGCCCCCTTGGCTGACAGGGCTCCCAGCCATGGAAGTGCACTATGCATTTCTGCATCTGGGAGACCAGTCGCTGTGATCTCCCAGTTGTGGGGACACAATATGCATCCCATGGCTGGGAGACTGCTGCTGCTGTGGGCTCCTAGCCATGGGGTATGTCAGGTGCCCCTGAAGATGGGAGTCCTGTCAGCTCCTGAGGCCACCAGCTGCAGAGGCATGTACTCCTGTGGCTTGGAGCCAGTGTCAGCTGGGAGGTCCCAAGCTTAGGGACACAAATGGCGCCCCCCAGCTGGGATCTGGTCTCCCAGCTGTGGGGAGAAAAGGCTACATGTGAAAATTACATACTTTATAGCTAGTTGGGCCTTTTTAAGGGTCCATAGTTAATTTGCATGTGTAGCCAGCCTAAATTAATTGCACAATTAACCAAGTAATTGTATCATACACGTAACATATAGAGGGGGCCTGTGTTTTCTTACCTTAATAAACATATTTGTTTCAGACCTGGACAAGATCTCATAGCATCATACCCATTATCACTTAATCGTATTTATTAGGTTGTTCAGTGGCCTAATGAGAAAAAATATGCTACAAATAAATTATTGTGATGTTTTAAGACCATTTCACAGCAAGTGACTGATCATAAGTCGTAATTTCAAATGAAAATAAAGACCTTGCACATTTTGACATGATCCATGTGAGGGAAATTAAATCCTAGAGCAGGTTTGACATAAGTAAGATTAAAAAAAAGGGAATTAACATTTTAGAAAAGAAAAATAAATGTTTTTCTTTGCTTACTTTGGCAGAAAGAAGTCTCCAACCATTGTTCTCTACACGTTTGTACCAGCCACTGCCATCATCTTTCCAAATCTTTCCATGAATCTTTTCTGTCAGACTCTGTTTGGATGCCAACTTTGAATAATCTTTAGGGCTGTTAGCACACATATCTACAACAGGTCTATGAGTGAATATTTTATAGTATATATTTGGAGGATACCTGGTCTGTAGACAAGAATAACATTTGTAAACTAGAGGTCCAGTTAGTAACAATTTCTGTTATAAACAAATGTGTTCGTTCTTTTAAAAAAATTGTGCAAATTAAGCCCTCACCAAACTCCACTGATGTAAATGGGTTTAATGAAACAATCCCTTATTCATTTTGAAGTGGGTGAACACTAGAAAAATAGGCTAACGTTGGATGATCTGACTGATTTATTATAACTGTACATGTACTTAAAGCTCCAGTCCTGCTCTCAGTGAAGTCAGTGAGAGTTTTGCCATTAATTCTGTATGTGAGGCAACTAGCGCCTCACTTATACACTTATAGGTATTTGCTGTAGTAAGTAAAAAGGAGAAGTTTCCTGTGAAGAGAAAGCTGGAGTAGAAAATGCTTAAAATGATAAGTTAAATATGTACTGTGTTAAGCATGGCTACAGAAGTCTAGATTTGTAGGATTTATTTCCAAATCCAGTGCAATCACCACATGGACTTTTCGTTCATCCATTTGTCCCTCTGTAAAATAGTGATGATCATTTACCTGAAGCAATTTAATAGCCTCAGGTAAAAAGTGCTGTGTACATGCAAATTAATAATATGCTTACTTAATAGACCTTACTGATGCTCTAAAGATAAGAAATAAATAAGCTGACAGGTTACATCACAAAAACCAAAACCTTGTCATGTCTTAAAAAAACAGTCATCCACCCAAACAGTTAAGTCACTGTAGCTACAGTCACTTTCACTGTAGAACTGCATTAAGTTCAAGCAATCTCCTCTCTGTCAGAGGTGCTGTATATTTAACCAACTGGTAGCGGTCCATCTTTTATGGCATGAATTAAAAAAAACACGTAGATTAGCAGGCTTGATTCAGTAATCCAAATCTCTTAGTACTAGGAGGAAAAAAGGGAAAAAAATCTGCTAATCCATGCTTCAGGGTTGTTGGTTATAGCCATGTTTACCTAAGCACATAGGCAGGCAAGGTTCTTTGCGTAGATGTGATATCTTTTATTAGATCAACTAAGCAGTTGGAAAAAAATGTTTTTTGCAAGCTTTTAGGCACAGACACCCTTCTTCAGGCATAAGGAGAGTCTGCTGGTGTTTTGTGTGCTCTCCTGGGTAGAATAGAAGCCAAGATACAAAATGCAGATCTGTGAAAATGCAAAGGTGTGACAGTGTGGGTCAGAGGAAACGGGAGACAATAGGAGAGAGAGACAGGTATGTGTGGGGAAAAGGAAATGTTGAACTGGTGATAGAATGTAGCTGGCAAATGCAGACAGGTTACCTGGGGTCAGTTATCAGATGTCAGGCAGGTTATAATGTGCCGTAAAACAAACGTCTACATTTAGCACATGATTCTTTGTATTCAGTAGATTTATGAAGCAAAGTTCACAGGCTCGTCTACAAAAGGTGTTTTGTAAATTGCCTTTGAAGATTAGATCTTAGAGATTGGGGTGACTGGTTCTCTTGTGAGAAGTGTGCACCCACAGTAATGGATATTTTTGTCTTTGCGCACACACCGAAAATCTATCAGAGACAAAAATATCCAATTACCTGTGAGGACTGATATAGAAGCACTAGAGACGAGGCAGACAATAAGAACAGTAATAGGTCATTACAGCATATATTTTCTCCCAGTGCTTTTTCGGAGGAAACTGTTATGATGATTGGCAATTGTAGATGTCTCTCTCCATAAACTGAAAATAAGATCCTGGAAACATTACGTTACATTGGGCAGTCTTGTAAATATACTGCAACTATTACAATTTAAAAAGTTTGGCTAGTTCTCATTAAAATAGCCATTATAGAAAAATACACTGGTTTTGTAATACCCATGTACAAAACACCTACCAAGTCTCATGCTTACTTTCCCTGAACTGGATTTTATTGTAGGTAATAAATAAGCTCAGCATGTTGCTCTCTACACTGTACTTTCCAGCAAAGAGCAAACTGTTGCTCTACTGCTTTATTAGTATCATATGTCTTCAGTGTAAGGTATTCTAATGATGTATTATTCAGAAGGTGGTGTTAGACAAGGAACCAGAGGTCAAGAGCACAGACCAAATGATTATATGATAAAAGTCTGCCAAATGCAATTTACTGGAAATTGCTAGCCAAGCAACAGGGGAAAATATTGGCAGTAGATCAACTTCTTTACAGTTATTTCAGGTGTTCTTGAATTGAATTCATAATTCTGTGTAAGTTATTTTGAAAACAGAAAACCTTGCAAAAGGTTTGTTCTATTACAGACTGACTGTTCACATGTTATCAATAGGCACAAACATTACGCAAAAATCTATTAACACCTGGGCCATAATGTCAAGGCAAATACATATATAGGCACTTAGCTACTGGTTTAAGGTAATTGTACCCATAGTTTCATAGTCTGTAGGGTCGGAAGGGACCTGAGCAGATCATCAAGTCCAACCCCCTGCCATGGCAGGAAAGAGTACTGGGGTCAAATGACCCCAGCAAGGTGTTTGTCTAGCCTTGTCTTAAAGACCCCCAAGGTAGGAGCCAGCACCACTTCGCTTGGGAGTTGATTCCAGATCCTAGCCGCCCTGACAGTGAAGTAGTGCCTCCTGATGTCTAATCTGAATCTACCCTCTGTGAGCTTGTGACCTTTATTTCTAGTCATTCCTGGTAGCGCTTGGGGGAACAGGGACTCCCCTAATGCCTTCTGGTCCCCTCTGATTAGTTTGTAACAGGCCACTAGATGCCCCCTCAGCCTTCTCTTGTGGAGGCTGAACAGGTTCAGGTCTCTGAGCCTCTCCTCATAGGGCCTGCCCTGCTGCCCCCTGATCATGCGAGTGGCCCTCCTCTGGACCCTCTCCATGCTGTCCGCATCCCTCCTGAAGTGCGGCGCCCAGAACTGGACACAGTACTCCA